CTTTCGGTTTGAATCGATAACTTTTAAAATGAAAATTGTTTTATCATAAAAATTACCCAAGCAGAAATTTTAGAAAAAATTATGTGCTTTTTTCTGCTTAAGCAAGAAAAAAGCACGCAATAAGCACAAAATAGCCACAAAATAGCTTTTGTGGATGAAAATTGCTAAAATTTTTCTAAAAAATTGCTATATTCATTATTATTGCTAAAAAATTGCTAATAAATTAAATTTTTTCATTCATATTAAATACATTTACTCGGAAACAAAAATCTTATTTAAGAATTTTACTTTAAACCCGAACTTCTCATACACTACATAATCAAGAACGAAATCTTGATTATCTTGATCCTGGTTTGTCCACTTTTCGCTGAAGATCGCTTTGTTTTGACTTGCAGAATTAACCCAGATGGTAGTATTCAAAGTATGATGGATGCACCGAAATTCAATGAATAATAATAATAATTGTATATCGTATATTTCTTTTTTCATATTAAATATTTTCATTATTTTTTATTTAAAAAATCATCATAGATGTCTATTAAATAGATCAAAAATGAAAAACAATCCAAGCCTTGGTTGAAAACAACATGTAAAAGGTTTATCAATACAGGATAAACCAATCTCTATTTTATTTAGAGATAATTCACCCGTTTTGATATGACAAAATTGAAAATCTGGAATGATATCCCAATTTTTGACATTGATAAATTCATTACCAATAATAATGAATTGTGATGCTTGCTCAATAATATCAGTTACCATTATGTATCTTCCACATTTAGTTTGGACGTACTGATTTCGATGTTGATGATGTTGATTGTTATAGTTGTTGGTAAGGATTCGGAATTTTTCCGTTTTCAATTCGGAAATTTTCCCATTTTTTCTCGAACATTTAATTGTTGGGGAAATTGGCAAATTAAAGATGAAATTAGAGTAATTATTCTTTAGCAAATCAATGAATTCTGCGGAATTATTTTGGCGATTTGATTGAATTGCCGCATGAATGGATAATTGCATCAGAGCTTTTTTCATCACCTGCTCTGACACCTTGTGGAAACTTTTCACCTTTTTCCCCATTACACCCATGCTATTTTCAATGTGAAAAGCTGAATTGACCAATAATGGTCCATATAATCGAACTACTTCCGGAAGGTGATGGATTACATGGACATTGTAACGAAACATGTCCGTTGGGTATAGTTTGTTGAATTCATTCATGAATTTGTCGATGAATAATTCACATTTTTTGATTTCTTCCTCTTCGATTATTGATTTTGTTAGATTTGAAATTATATTTGAAAATAATGCGAAAATTTCAAATTCAGCCTTTGGAATCACACCATAGAGCATGATCAAGCCATAATATAATATATTTTCGTAATCTGTGGCTTTCAATTTATGATCAATTGGGTTTAATCTTCTCAAAATTTTGGAAGGAAATTTGATTTGATTGAAACCCATATTTATGGTTTCGATTTGTTGGTTATTGAGCTTTATATTTCCTTTTATCTTGCCCAACCACGAATCAACAAAAAGCTTTGTTGTGCCAAGCAATTGGGAGTGCATGAATTCGGGTGGACAAAAAATTGTCATGTCAATATATGTCAAATCCAATAAAGGCGAAGTTCCCTTGATTCCATAGATTGATGTTAGATTCTCGGAATTTTCTATTCGGTTAACGAATCGTTTCCATTCGCTGTTGGTTCGCATTATCAATGATTGTTGCTTAATGATGGGATAAAACAATTTATTCGATGTTGATGATCTACACGGCTCAATATAACAACGAGAACATCCAAAATAGCCATTGTGTTGGACAGTATTTAAAACTTTGGCCCTAGCTGGCGCATCACATATCCCACAAAGAAGTTTGACTGTGAATTTTTTATCAATCCAGCGATCGCCATCGAGAATAGATACTTCCAATGGATTATTTTCGATTTGAATTAGTTCATCAATTAATGGTTGGATCATCCAACAAGTTGGGGGGCTAACACATGAATGAATCGCCAACGGAAATGCCAATTGTGTTCTCATATTAAATGGCAATTCACAAATGTATATCATTAATGGCCATATCGATTTATTACCTTTTTCAGTGAAGGATACGCCATCGAAACCAAAATAGATGATTAAACAATTTGGATCTGCCATACTGCGATAAACTGATCCATCTGTTATGTCGTGGTATTGTTGATTCGAATCGTATGATGATTCTGAATGATTGAATCGTAGAAATTGATGTATTTGTGGAATAAAATACTCGAGTAAACTCTTTAATGAAATATAGCAAAAATAACGGCCTGTGTTACAATCGATAACTTGTTTGCATTTCTTTTTGCAAACTAATAAACTTGATTTTTCATCAACTGGACCAATAATGCCACAACCACAGTAATAATATTTCGATAGGATTGGATCGTAAATTCTAGCTTTATCGCGAAGTGTGGCATAACTCAATGGAAATATCGGATTACCAACACAAAAATTAGTTACGATAGCTGAATCGACTACACTTTGATTAGTTGAATTGTGCTTAAGTTGATTCAAGAACAATAATAGAATTTTTTCTCTGATATTGAGAGTGGCTGGTGATTCGACAAGCTCATCTTCGTCAGAATAATTGATGATTGAATCCATGGACTCATTAACCACAATGGATTCATTTTGTTCTGATCTGAATTCTTCTGTTGCATCTTGATCATCAATTGGATGTTCGCATATTCTGGAATTAACCTGTTGATTGTGAATTTGCTCACGAATTCTTTTCCGATTCTTCAACCTGGAAACATATTATTGAAATTTTAATCAACTCAATTTTAAAAAAACTTACCACAATTCCCGTTTTTTCTTCGAATTATAGATTTTTTTGAGATGTGTTTTGACTTTATCCATTTTTTAATGCACAAATGAATAGATGACGATGAAAAACATCAAATTGAAACAATTATCTTATGATTATTCAATAAAATTTGAGCACAAAGAAAAAATATATTTTTTGATCTGATTATCGAAAATGTATCGATAAAATTTGTAAAAAAATTTATTGGACTTTTATTGAAGTTGTCACAATTATTTTTTAAATGATTTATTCGATCTAAGTATCGAATATTTATAGAAAAAATTTTTTAAAAAAATTATTGAATTTCAATTGATGACAAAATTATGACAAGAATGACGAATTCTTTCTAATTATTTTATATGTATCAATAAAAATTTGTAATTTTTTTTTATCGAATTTCGATTGAAGATGACAGAATTATGACATGAATGACGAATTCCATCTAATTATTTTATATTATATGCATCGATAAAATTTGTAAAAAAAAATTTATTGGTTCTATTGAAGATGTCCCACTTGTTATATAAATGATTTATTCGATCGATCGTTTCATTCGTGTGTTTCAATTCGCAAGTCAACATTAATGAAATTGATCGTTAGAATTTTTTCAATTATAACACAATTATATAACATAAAATTTTCACAACCAATCATCAATTACATCATTTCGAGTATGTAAGTGAATAATTTATTTTTCAAAAATTTTACAATTGTGGTTTTGTTCTTGAAAGTACTATGCCAGGCTCATATGTTTTGATTGAATGGGCTAATGAGTTGGCGGAAATTAGCATCTTCCAAATAAAGGATTTTGATCCAAATTGGATGAACGATAATTACCCCACTCATCCAATCATCTATACGAGAAGCGATTTTATCCAATCCCAAGGATATATCAAATTCATAGGTAACAAAAGTTTTCTTGAGATTTGTTTCCTGTCAATTTTATTTTGCATTCGAAAATATAGGGACTTCTGATGAAGTGAAAGCAAAGAAAGAAGAAATTGCTACAGCAAGAATCGTTTCTATGGAAAACAATGAAATTAAAGAATTGAAATTGATGATGTTGGCAATGGAAAAGAAACTGGACGAACAATCCAAAAAAATTAACCAGTTGGAGCAGAAATTGGATTATCTCACACAAGGATCATCTACCGACAACGTAAAACTCATGAACCGAAACATTTTGCGTTACTTATATTTTTCCATTTTAGAATATTATTACTACCGGTAAAAATCGGATAAAAGTTTTTGTCAATGATTTGTCGGCTGCTCTCATACCTAACGATGAGATCAAAGGACTATATGTCCTTTGCCAAACCGTTTTCGGTGAAGAGATAAAACCCGAAATGACCTGGAGGGAGCATTCCCAAGAGATTAGACAAAATATTACAGATCTCATCTGTGAGTTTTTTTCAAGCAATCATAATTCGAATGATGTATTTGATAAAATATTTTTCAGATCTATTTGTTGACCATAAACATAGCGAAAGTGAAGATAAAAAGAAGATGGTGATACGGCTTAAACAAAAATTTATCAAAAAATTGAATAACCAGAAAAAGAAGAATAAAATAAATCAAATCAAGGAATAATCATTTATTCATCATACATAAAAGATTTTGGTGATATCCGGTTGACGAGGCTCCAAATAAAAATAATTTTTTGATACTTTATATGATTTATTATCAGTAACGAATTATTGAGATAACCGTATTATTATTTTTGAAATTCATCCATTCATTCATTTAAATAAAAATCTCAAATTATCGTGATTATCTTATGTATCTGAGAATTATATATGAATCAAATTTAATGTGGATATGCGAAATATGAAAATGTTTTCGAGAATTCTTTTCATTTCTGTGGGAAAGTTCCCTGGCAAAAGTTCCGATTTTATGTGTGTTTTTGCTTATCATATATTGCTTAAAACTTAGTCATTGGTTATGGGCTCAGTACCACGTGTTGTTTTTTGTTCAAGATTATCAAAATAATAATATTGCAATGTCCAATTTATACCAGGACATTGGGATTTTGCCAGCTTTCTTTATCATATTGGGGTCAAGATTTCACCGAACAGTGGATGTGGAGATGAACAAACATCCAACCATCCGCTATTTGTTTGTATCACCGACTTGTTCAATGGTAAATCCAGCTCAATTTTTGTCATGAAAATACAATTTAAGAGTATTTAACTCCTTTTGTCGCAGTTTCATTAAAAGATAACGCTAATTGATAAATAATAATACTAATTTTTTAACTACCAAAGTTTTTGTAAGAAACATCAAACAATAGATTTCGATGGATTTTATAAATCCCAAAGATAATACTGAAGAACTCGAAATACCGAGGTTCAGGTTCAAATCTGCTCGAGAACTGCTGAAGGATTTGGAGACAATCGTATTTAAAGGTTCAATCCCTGGTTTATTTTTTGGCCTCGATCAATTATATATCGCGTTTTACAATGAAAAAATTAAGGACGAAAAAAGACGAAGACGAAAATTAGGGGATTCAACCGGAACTGAAAAAGATGCAGTCTCTTTATTCAAAAAAGGTATATTGGCAAAGAACACAGTATACTGGGAAAACTAATAATTATAATAATTCTTTTTGGATGAAACTGTGTTTACAATTAATAAATATTTGTCTATGGTTTACTGGCTCCCATCCTCTTCAATCTGGTCTTGGAATACGGAATGCGTAAGGCGAACCTCGTGATCGATCAAAATTCACCTCTAATTCTGGCACCGATCACCTGTATAACGATGCAAACAGTCCAAACGACATGTGAATAATTAATTGATGCCACCAGTGAAATTGGACTAATAAGTTAACGAACGAAGTTCTTAACGATTAATGGAGAAAAAACAATAAAAATTATAAGGCCTCTCACAACATGGAAGTGAGGAGATTTCGTTTCCAAGAATCCAATGACTTGAAATACCTGGGAATGACCCTGAACAACACGAAAGATTCTCATCAGCGAATCAAGGAACGAGTCAAATGAGCAAACCGCTGTCACGCAGTGTGCTCAGGAAAATTGGTGGTTCGTAAAGTACTGTCGTTTTATTCCGTACACCATTTTTGATCGTCTCTCAAAAATTTTTGGTAGATGTCTTTGAAACTTTTAAACGCAAATTGTTCGATGATTATCTGGCTTTAATTTGATCCTAAATTTTCATCAATTGTCCCATCCAAAATTTCACTAGGCCCGCTGACAGTGACCCTTGTCAAAATCAAAATTTTAACGTTTTTTTTTTGTTTTCGGTTTGCTGTTACCGCAACAAGATTGTCCGACGACTTTTGAAGAGTAAATAATAATCTTCCATGTCTTAAGACTTATCAAAAGTGGTTGTCAAAATCTTGCCGCAACGCAATCATTCCAGAAAGTGGAATGCCACAAATGAGTTGGGGCAAAATTGTGAAAATCACTTTCTGCAAGTCCTAAGATATGAGAGATTATCATTTAGTGGTCAAAAGTTATTGAACAACCTTGTTACGGTTACAGCAAACCGAAAACAAAAAAAAACGTTAAAATTTTGATTGACAAAGGTCACTTCCCGAGGGCCTAGTCAAATTGTGGGCGGGAAAATTAATAAAAATTTCAGATAAAATTAAATGCAGATAATCATCAAAACAATTTGCGTTTAAAAAGTTTCAAAAACATTTACCAGAAATTTTCGAGAGACGATCAAAAATGGTGTACGAAGAAAACTACATTAATTTACGAACCACCTAATATTTGGGCTTGTATTCAAACCGGTATCCAACCAATTCGAAAAAAGGAACAATGCGGACCTGTGCAAACACTTTGGACGTACAAGTATCCTGGGATACATCATGGGCAAAAGCGTTTAGCGTTGGACCAGGTGTTTAATTATAGTCCTGCCAGTTCCAGAGGCAGAGACAAGGAATGATGACGTACCTGCGTGGAAAATGATCTGGACAAATTAGGCCGACCACTCTCGCCGAATATCCCAGATGATAAGAAACGGTGGAAACTTATAGAAGCAATGGCCATCAATGGGGCGTTTAGCTAAGTTGATTGATTGATTGTTTATAGTTTAACATTTGCGCCCGGCAATCGGGAAAGCAACAAAAATCAATCAATCATGAATTAATTTATTTTATTATGAATTAATAAAAATCTCAAATCATTATAATATATATGAATCAAATTTAATGCGGATATGCGGAATATAAAAATGTTTTCGGGAATTCTTTTCATTTCTGTAAGAAAGTTTCCTGGCAAAAGTGCAGCGCCAATATGCGGAATATGAGAATATTTTGGGGAATTTATTGGGAAAGTTCCCTGGCAA